TATTATTAGAGCAGTATGCTGTCGGACAGCGTTGTCCGATACCGTCCCATGAGACAGGCTGGATGTCGCCCACCATTGCCCGACACCGTCGTCAGCGTGTTAAAACTACCTAGCGTATTCTACCTAGTTGGCATCACATATTGCTAACACTGAATCATTTGAGTCCTGATGGGAAAGCGCCGCAAGTGGTTTCGCTTGCAATGCAGCCTTTGCTGGATTACGTGACAGAACTAAAACCTCTGGTAGGGGTCCCGGCGCGAAAGGTTAGGGCGCATGTATAGAGCAGTGCATCTGCCAATTCACCGAAAGGTGCGAAAAATATGTCCCGAAACCACAGATGAGCTTTTTCAGAGAGAGGACCCTGAGGTAAGTGAGCTTTTCATGCGAGAAATGCTCGATTAGGAGGTAGCAGAACGTCTTGCAGTGTGTGAGCGCAGAGAACAACAAAAAGTTGAGCAGTGAAGAATTAGTTGGAGGGAAAAGAGGGATTGCATGCAAGTAGGCCGTAGACCCCCTTTGCCATATCGAGAACAACTTCTTTCGGACGCAGTTTTTGCAAAACTAAAAGGCCATCGGAGTGCCCAATATTACCCCATCTTTGGAGCTCTACAAATTTTATGAAGACCCGCTAGTTTGAAAAAATATTTTGAATGGGAACCCTTGGACGACATTCTGTCCACTCAGAAGCCCGACTTCCTCTGTGACACTGTAAGAATAGTCATTCGCGAATTTCAATATGCCTTCAAAACACATATTCCCGTTGAACTGAGTCAAAGCATAATTTGGTTATCATCGATCGATTTGGTCCGAGTGTGCGCCGTGCATTACGCTTCTACGCAGAAGTGGTGGAAAGGTGTAACTTCTGATTTTAGGTGATTTTTGTCCATGCAAGCAGATGTTTGTTCAGGGTTTGGAAGGCTATCGTTTTACTATTTTGTAGTATTTCTTATATCCGGGTCCTCTGCAGCATTCCGTTCACTCCACCAAACTTAGCGATGTGCTGTTTGGTGCTCACCCACCCTGCCTTTCGACGACCCCCCCCTGGCCAGCGGGCAGTACGACCCCCGAAGGGTTTTGCCCATTCATTACACAAACTTAGCGATGACGCTTCTGTCGGTTTGGTGCTCACCAACCGTGCGTTTATGATACCCCCTCCCTTAGCCAGCGGCCAGTATGACCCCCGAAGGGTTTTGCACAACGATGGTGTACCCTGTGCCTAATAGCTATGCATCACTTACACTGCTGTCGAACGATACTCCTCGTCGATGATTTTCTGGCGCTCAACTTGCTCTTTAATCTCGTTTCCCACCTCGATTAGGGCCTATAATTGTGAGTTGCCGATTTGCAGCGGAGAGTTTTCTTTCAAAAAATGCCACTAACCTCATCGCTGACTTCGTCGTTCAGGCTTATGTTGAGTTTCTCGAACGCGTCCGTTATGACCTTCTCGTTATAACCAGCCCTGAAGCAATGCTATTCCTCCATAGTAATTTCTATTATCTGACAGTATTGACCCACTTACATCAAGCAAATCTATCTTGTAGTCGTTGTAAGTGGCAACTTTTTTGTCATCCTTCTTCCCCCGAGACACTTTCTGTAGTAAATGGTTTTATCATGATTGCATGGCCCGAAACAGTTTTTAAGGCACCTACTGACCTGTCTGATCCAATCGAATATTCCGTCGCCATCGTTCTGCCGTGCCAATTCGGCTTTCACTTCGACATACGAGTCGTTAATGATAGCAAGGAACATGTTCTAGAAAGGGCTGAAGGCTAATTCTATGTTGTGGGCGGTGTCAGGCCTGCCACTGCGCCTTCTCCCTTTTTTGCGACTGGTCTTCGCTGCCTCAGAAACAAGAAAGCACCAATGAGGAAGGCAAGACAGTTACTAGCTCCGCCCATTCAGCGAGAGCGGGATTTGTCTTCAAATCGATGGGTACGTTTCTATGTAAGACTAGACTTGCTTCACCAGAAGCACGAAGAAGACGAAGAATACGTAAGTAACGAAGAATAGTGGTCCCAAGACGCGATTCGTTTGTTCAAGAGCGTGGAAGTCGAAATCACCAAGAAC